GGGGCAGTTGCTACTTCTTTTACTGCTTGCAAAGTGGGTTATTTTTGGTTTGTGACTGGTCTGTGCATTTTGAAATTTTCATTTCTCTCTTACTCATAAATTTAATTCTCTGCAGAGTGAGTTCTAAATGCCTAACCTGGCGTGGCTGGAGTCATTATCCCTGTGGTAATTGCTGCTCCTGGAAGTGGCTGGCATGTCCTTGCAGCCCCTGAGAAAGGCAGAGCAGGGAGTCTCCACATGCTGTTCTTGCCTGGAGACACCACTCCTGCGGTCAGCAGTGGGGAACAGTGAACCAGTAGAAGCTGTGGGCTCAGTGCCTGTAGTTGAAGGGCAGCACATGGCACCATGGAGCCATTGCTGCACATGCCAGCTGCTTTCAGGAGTGGTGCAGGGCCAGGGCTGGAGTAAGCCTGCCTTAACCCCACTGCTCCACCACCTGGAAGCCATCTCAGTTAAATGGCACCCAGCCAGAGCCTGCTTCCTGAACCCCTGTGCCAGCCCTCCGACATCCAACCTCCTGCCCCAGACATGAGTCCCCCTGCACCCAAACTCCTTCCCAGAGCTTGCACCCTGAAACACATACTAGACCCCAATCCCCCTCCCTGGGCTAAGCCCTGAGCCCCTCCCACACTCCAAAGCCCTTCGTCCAAGACCAGAGCCTCCACCCCAACTCCCTACCCCAGCCTGGTAAAAGTGAGTGAGGATGGGAGAGGAAGGGGAATGGGGTGAGCAGAGTGAGGCCTCAGAGAAGGAGTGGAGCAGGGGCAGGGTCTCAAAGAAGGGACGGGAAGGAAGAAGGACAAGGATATTTGGGATTGAGGTAGATCTTACATTAAAAAAGTGATCTTGTGGTTAAAAAGCTGGAGACCACTGGATTACAGGAACACAGCGGTCTCTTCAGGCCTTAAAATCTATGAATCAATAGTTTAGTCTCATAGGAAGTGAGCAGAGCCCCCAGAGCCAGGACCTTAAACACAAAGGTATTTATGTGCATATGGATGCAGATAGGTGCCTATGGTGGTTTTGGAAGTCCCTCTGGGTACTTATCTGCAGCCTTCGACAATCTGGCTCACAGTGCCTGAGAGCTAAAGGAAAGATCTTTAGTAGGCCTTGCCCTTATGTAGCAGCATTAAAGAAGCTGAAAGAGGGGCTGGGGCTTACCGTCTGAATGAACTTGTTGCAGATCACCTTCTTATCACCCCTGCAGCAAGAGAAATACAAAATATAATTACACCTGGGGTTGGTAATACTTCCTGTTAGTAATGTGGCTGACACTTCCCACTTCCATTATAATACCCTTAAATGAGTTCGGCTGAAATTTTTCCCGTTGAGTGTCTGATTTCAGCCAGCACAGGTTAGCTGTTTCCAAGAGCGAGGCTAGGGAAAAGTATACTGCTTTGGTTCTATTAAATTCTGGCGACCTTTTCTCTGAACAGCTCCATATGGGATTTTGAACCCCATCTTCCCTCTGCTCCAGCCTTGCTCCCCACAGCCCCATGATGCCCCCAGCCTGATCCCCTGTATCACCCCACCCCCTGCCCCCACATCCCTGTGCCCCCAGCATGCACACTGGAAGGGAAGCAGCACTGATACTCGCAGCCCACCATGAGCAGTGCTGGGGCAAGGAGAAGAATCACTTTGCTGCCTGGCCCAGCCCTTGCTGGGGCCCGCCCCTCACCTGCAGGCTGCTGTTCATGATTGGATCCAGCCT